TAAAACAGGAGGGGATGTGGGGGGGCGGGCTTTAGAGCAAACAAGACTGGCCGAGAGCCAACAGCTGCGGAAGCTGGATGATGGGTCCGTGATGGTTCCTCACGCTATTCTATGTACTTGTGTGGATGTTTGAGTTTTCTATAATAAAAAGGTTAAAAAGGACAGGGAGAGAAGGAACTGGAGACAGCAAATACACGTTTAAGGAATTCTGCTTAACGAGGAGCGGAGAAATGAGGCACCAACTGCAGGGAGAGGTAGAGCCTAGGGAGGTTTTCATCACAGAGACGCGTGATGTTCTAGGACGTCTAGAATGACCAGTAGGGGGAAGAGTTGATGACACAGAGGGGAATGGGGGGAAGGCGGGTGGGTGGGGGGAGTCAGCAAAGGGGGGAAGGGTGGGCCGGCGAGGCCGTGGGAACAGGGAAGGCAACAGGCTTGAGGCAGCATCGGGCGGGTGAGGGTCGTGGCTGAATGTGTGCCTCTTGTAGTGACTCCATGTTCTCGGTAGACCAGAAGGCTGGGTCATTGACTGACAGTACAATGTTGATGATCCAGGGGTAGGGTGGGCAGGGTAGGTGCAGGAGGCGAGGGAATGGAAGGGGGAAATGGAACATGAATTCTGAGCTGCAAGAAAGCCAGCAGAGGGGATGGTCACAACTTCCTAGCAATTCCAGTCAGCGTGGTTTGCCTCAGCCGCGTTTCAATGAGCATGTACAAAGATAACCAATGACAAATGGTCCTCTGTAGGTGCCAAGTGGAAAACCCAAGCATGACGAGCGGCAGGAGTCTGCAGACACCCAGATACCTCGGGGGTATTGGGAAAGGTGACAGGAAAGCCTGACAGACAGAAGCAGGCAGATTCTGTGGGGAACGGGTGGAGGGCAGCCTCGTGGAGGTAGAACATTCATGACTCAGTTGTTTAAGTGGAGGCAGGCTTTAAGAGACACTGAAATAAGGGGCACCTGGGGGGCTCAGTCAGGTGAGTGTCCAACTCTTGATTTTGGCTCAGGTCATGATCTTGGGGTCATGAGATCAAGCCCCACGTCCAGCTCCACGCTCAGGGAGTCTGCTTAAGATTCTCTCCCTCGGGGCGCCTGGGTGGCTCAGTTGGTTAAGCGACTGCCTTCGGCTCGGGTCATGATCCTGGAGTCCCGGGATCGAGTCCCGCATCGGGCTCCCTGCTG